TGTGCAAGCGCGTGTGGACTCTTTCTGCAGATTCACGCGGGGCAGTGCAAGAAGGATTGATGCGCGGGAAAAGGAGGAGTTTTAGAGAGAGAGAGAGAGAGAGAGAGAGAGAGAGAGAGAGAACCGTGCTTCTTTGTTGTGACGATCGAGATTTTTTCCGGCCGGACGACATGCATTGATAGTTTTTTTGTTATCTTTGGTACTATTGTACCGTTGTCCTTGCCTTTGCTCGAACTGGGTCGTACTACAGTAGTAGTAGTGGAAACGTATCTTTCGTGATTTTTGACTTTGCCTATGTACGACAAATCATGCTCCCCACCCCCTGTTCGCCATGCCTATCAGTGATGTTTTTCTCCTCTCTTTATATCTCATCCTTTGCTATACTTGCGTTTTCTTGTGTTGATATGTAATGCCTGGCTGGGCAGTCGTTTCCTTTTCTCCCGTTCTCGACGGCGAAAAACAAGGTGATCCGTGCCGAAATGCCGGCAGTTGCGCAGCACATGCACACGCTTCCTGCTAGAGCAGCAGCAGCAGCAGCGGCAGCAGCAGCAGACCGTAGAGGATCGCCGAAGGCAGGGGACGAACGAACGAACGGGTTGTCTCGAAACGGTCGGGAGCTTGCTTGGGTCCAACTCGCTCGAGTTCAACCGACTCTTACGCTTGAGATGGGCTTCTAACGCTCGATGACGCCTTCCCTTCCCGATAACAGGAGGAGGCTTCGAACGCTTGAGGACCCTTTCTCTTCCCGATAAGAGGAGGAGGAGTACATTGTATCAAGGGGGAGGAGTTGATAAATAATCATGATGGGGTGGGAAGGGAGAGGGGCGGGGGTGACCAGAAAGAGTCAAACTATCCCATTTTTTTTCGTTTTTGTGTGCAAACCTCCCTCCGTGCACACTCCACATGCCTCCGGTGTTTACTCCAAACCTCCAGAGGAGCAATTATTTATCTGTTGTGTCGATGCCCGCTCACGTTGCGAAAGGACCGAGAGTGACACGATTTTACCGCGCGTAGCAAAGCGAATTCAACCGGTTAAGCTTAAGAGCGATAAGGGGAAGTGACTGTGGTGCGGTGGCTACCTGGCTGGCTGGTGGGGTGGGTGAGACAGAACTGGTGGAGCAGGTATTATAGTGGAGGAGCGGCAGCCAGCCAGAACTGGGAGCAGGCCACACGAACGAAAATTGGTTCGGGCCCATCCGGTGGTCAGGGTGGCTCGAACAAGGCGTACTGCGCGCTTAAAACTACACATGCACATATATATATATACATGCGCGTGTTTCAGGCGCCGAAGACATTGAATCGGTCACTTTCCCATGGCACCATGGGTGGATCGCGAACGGGAATCAATTGCACCGCCCAAGTTGAGGGCTACTTGATCGTAAAATAGCTATTATACTTGTAATGGGCATCGTTACATGGAGCCTGATTATTATAGTAGAGTCTTGGGGATTTTGTTGCCCGCCCCCCTGCTCTCTGTCGACGGTGGGCAATACCAACGAAGGGGAGCGGGTTTTCAGATGGTATCTGCACCCAGACGAATAATAACCATTTGAGAAGGTGCCTCAAAACGACATGCATGGGGGTGCATAGAATCAAACTGATCGGTTGACTGACGCCTAAGTAGGCTGAGGTGGGGATTTAAAAAAGTTGTGGAGGTCTCTCTTCCTCTCCCTCTCGCTTGTGCCTCCGGTTGGACCACAACATAAAGCAGTTTTGCACACTCACGCCCGTGTCGCTAGGGCGGTGCAACGCAATGCCGCCGGTTAGCTAGCGCAGATTCTCAATACAAAATATGTACCATTAACCAAATCCCACGCGAATGCGCCAAACGAAACGTACGTATGGAACCGCCCCACCCCTGCCAATATCTATCCGCGTGGCACCTAGAAAAGCCGAAAGGCGACATTAAACGCTCCGCATGTTCAAGGTCTACTCGAGCCCGTAAAAATTAAAGACGTGTCTCTTAAATGAGTGTGAGCAGCATCAGCCCAAAGCGCTTGCTTGCTTCACCTCATAACATGCTCAACAAGAGAACCACGTATAAGTA